AGGAATCCCACAAGAGGGAAAATCACGTTTGAAATTCCCGCCCCCAAGGACCACAGTGCCTGTGGTCGGTAATTGCAATCCACATCCAAGATCTTGCAGCATGAAATCAGACAGATCTATGTGAATCCTGCTACTGATTTCAATCAGAGTCGAGCCAACAGGATCCAGAGTGTTCTGATAACCAATGGTAACAATATGGGCTTCTGGCTCAAGCCAAGTTGACGAAAAAACTAATCAAAATTCAGAGAGCCAAACAGAGGGATGTGCATGTCGCCATCTTGCCTGTTCACTAAACTAATGTTTTACTGGAAACTTATAAACATATTAAATGTGAAGTATGAAACTCTAGGGGACGGAAAAATTAATTTAAAAAATTATTCTATAGCTTTATCTCATAACTAATAATTTTGCAAAATGGAGAAACTTGTCCCCGTTTGAATCCAACCCATTGATTTTTGTCATGTCTTTTTAATAGAAAAATGAATTATATGACACCTTGAATCTAGTCCTACTTGCTGGAAGTCAAGCCTCTCCTTACCCGAGCAACTCCCCAACCTCCCAAAATGTAAAACCTTTTACTCTTAATAATACTAAGTTTTCACAAGTGTTATTATCACGTACGTACATGTACGTATGATTATCACTCACGTAATATGAAACTAGTCTGGTTTTCTGACCTGACAATTACCCGAAGCCCTGACGTCTATATTGTAGGTCAGGGTAGCCGCCACAAAGTTTTGTTTTTTTCAAAGCTCGGCTTCGTTTCCCATTTGGCTATATCATTAAGAGCTTTTAAAGTTCCGATCATTTATACTAAAAAAATCACTTGTTACATTATGTTTATAATTTCCCATCATTTGATCGATATTTCGTTTGAAAACTAGTGTAACACTGTTAAAATATATCAAGTCTTTAGATGTAGACTGTTGAATCGGTGTTCGGTAGCTGACGGCCGATGGATGAGTGGGTATGACAAAGCCATAGCAGGTATGACAAAGCCATGGCGAAAATGATGGAAACAAAGTCCGTATGAAGCTCTGCTATTTGGAGAAAAACATCTTGTTTCCAAGAAGTAAATCTGTACCGGGTACTTTATATAGAAATATACAGATGACAACAACAGAACATACGATTCGGTGAGCTTCCGGGTGTGTCTGGGTAGAATAAAAAAAAAGGCTGATGAGGATGAAAACAAGTCTGTTAACTTTGGCTGGAGAATCCCCAACCACAGAGCATAGGGCTGAACCAGCTATGACTCTTGGTTAGGAGGAGAGGAGGATGAGGATGAACTCTTGTTACATTTGGTAATGTAGTAACAAATGGATAACGTATCACCAACAGATAATGTCACAAAAATTGACCGATACTGTATCACTAACTGATAATGTAACAAAAAATTGACTGAAAGTGTCGTAAATGTTACTATACTCTTCTTCTTTTTTTTTGGTGATTTGTTTTCGGTTAGATATTTTCAAAAAATAAACACTATTCAGTCGACACGTGATACATTGTCGGCTAGAAATTGTACTACGCTATCAGTCCATTTTTGTTACATTATCCGTCAATTTGTGTGACATTATCAGTTAGTGAAACAATATCCGTCAATTTGTGTGACAATATCGGTTAGTGATACAATATCCGTCAATTTGTGTGACAATATCGGTTAGTGATACAATATCCGTCAATTTGTGTGACAATATCGGTTAGTCATCCAATATCCGTCAATTTGTGTGACAATATTGGTTAGTCATACAATATCCGTCAATTTGTGTGACAATATCGGGTAGTCATACAATATCCGTCAATTTGTGTGACAATATCGGTTAGTCATACAATATCCGTCAATTTGTGTGACAATATCGGTTAGTCATCCAATATCCGTCAATTTGTGTGACAATATCAGTTAGTCATACAATATCCGTCAATTTGTGTGACAATATCGGTTAGTCATACAATATCCGTCAATTTGTGTGACAATATCGGTTAGTCATACAATATCCGTCAATTTGTGTGACATTATCAGTTAGTCATACAATATCCGTCAATTTGTGTGACATTATCGGTTAGTGATACAATATTTGTCAATTGTGTGGCATCAGTTTATAGTGATACAATATCCGTCAATTTGTGTGACATTATCGGTTAGTGATACAATATCCTTCAATTTGTGTGACATTATCAGTTAGTGATACAATATTTGTCAATTGTGTGGCATCAGTTTAAAGTGATACAATATCCGTCAATTTGTGTGACATTATCGGTTAGTGATACAATATCCTTCAATTTGTGTGACATTATCAGTTAGTGATACAATATTTGTCAATTGTGTGGCATCAGTTTAAAGTGATACAATATCCGTCAATTTGTGTGACATTATCAGTTAGTGATACAATATCTGTCAATTTGTGTGACATTGGTTAGTGATACAATATCTGTTCATTTGAGTGACATTATCAGTTAGTCATACAATATCCATTGGTTACATGTACATTATCCGTTGTAACACAACCCCCAGGACATTTTGATACCTGAAAAATAAAGAGCAGCTGAAGGGTTTGGAGTTATTAACGATCATATAGTTTGTATTTTTGGAATCAAATTACATTGACATGGACTGGTAGAGCACATTGTTTAAAGGAAGTATTTTTATATATTTGTATTTATTTATTTATTTCTGGTAATGAAACCAAGGATTCCTCAAAAGCGCCTTTGGCACTGTAGCTCGCAAGCCTGATGAAACCTGTAGAGACGAGACGATGAGAAGAAATTACAGTTTTAGAGGTGGGAGGAAAACCCCAGAAGAATATTCTGGGGAAAACCCACGGAATCAGGTAGGGACTGAAAACCCAATCCACATATTGGCCAAGGCGGGATTTGAACCTGGGTCACAGCGGTGGAAGGCGAAGAAAGTACCGTTACGCCAACCTGACTCTCCTGTCCAGTGCCTAACCAATTATTGTCTTTACATACCTAATATAATGATTGCCAGACAAATTAATTTACTGTTTTTGACACTTTTAAAATGTTCACTTCACACATTTAAATACAACTTCATGGAGTTGTTACGTGCAAAAATGTATTCATAAATACCTCAGACAGTTTAGCTATTCCTATTGGTCGAGAGCCCGTCACGTGGCCGGTCTTAAACGGATGATAAAGACATGGCTAGCTGGTCTTAAACACTTTTCCAGTGTCACAATAAAATGTGGACTCCTAAAAATCCAGTGCCTCTTACCGTTTCATTGGTTCAACGTTCACAATCCTCACGTAGGCATGCGCAACACTACAAGCGAGTCAGAATTTTATAGTTCTAAATTCAAAACGCAACGCCCCAGGTGCGTTCTGCGTGACATCGCGCAGAACATGTTACGCGCGCGTCAATCTCCATAAAAGGGTTGTTTAAATCTTACTCGCCAGCTGAACACTCCATTATTTTGCTAGAGGGATGTTTCAAAAAGCATGAAGTGAACTTGTTGAACAAAATCGGGATTTTTTGAACGAATTATTTGATATTTTTTTACGGATAAGGTATTTATGAATGGGAATAAATATGTGCTCGGTCGGTATTTATCACTCTGTTTAATACCGCTTAGAGTCTGGGTGCTGATAATTACCCTCGCCTCCGGCTCGGGTAATTATCAGCACCCAGACTCTAAGCGGTATTAAACGAGTGATAAAAACCTCCGGAGCACACATTTATTCCCTTACTAAGCACTGAAAATATGAACCCAGCAGAAATAGTTATTGGCGTCAATGCTTTGCAATGTATGTTGCTTGTGACTGACTGGCAGGGGTTTTTGCTTAACAATTTTATCTGCTGAGAAGCTCCATGAGTCAGGTCAGTCAAGTCAAGATCACTAGCACAGTACACTAACTAAAAAAAAACTCTTGTAGCTAGTTTTTATCTTATGCAGCTACAAAGCTATTTGAGATGAAGAGACAGTCTGTGAGTTAATCTACAGATTTGGGTAGCGGCCAATCACAGAGGGCAGTATTTGAGGGAATCAGCATTTTCATTCGAAATATGCACGTAGATTGCTTTTGAGCCACATGCATTATTCATTCTTAACACCTCATCAGCCTGGTTTGCGTATTCGCACAGCCAGAGGTTTGTGAAGGAATGTACACGCAACCCATGTACGAGGGTACATGTATGTACAGATACATGTACAAGTATGTTTGAATGTTTTCAACCAGCTGTGCGCATGCGCAACACGCAGCGCTATCAGTGGACCCCAACATCCTTTACAGGTTTGCCACAATGATATGTTAAAAAAACCTTTGGTTTGCATGTAATTCATTTGAAGTCACAATTTCAATGAGACAAAATGTTACTTAAAATTAGTATCCCCCCCAAAAAAATGTTTCAAATATGCACAACTCTCAGTCAGATGTTTAAACCTTTGCAGAATGTGTTCCAATCTTCCATACCTACCGAAAAAAATGAACGAGTCTTCTAATTTATGCGTAGTGATGATGTTGCATGTGCATTGATGAATAAATGCACACAGGCTGGGGAGGGGATCTCACACGCTGGGGAGGGGATCTCACACTTGGGGGGGGGGGGGGGGCGCGGGTATGTGCTCATGGCAGATTGATCAAGTCGGACTTCTTGACTTTTGATGTACATGTAACATGTATATTTTGTACTCGACTTTACAGTATGTTCGTGCATTGTTATACGGCACTGAAGTACATTGTAGCACACAATGGCAGTTGTTGGGCGTCTGGAAAGATAGTGATGGAATTAAGGGCTTTTTGTGGTATTATTGGGTGGGGTTACATCCGATTTGAGAAGTCTACCTCTGTAAGTTGTCACAACCACATGCAGTCACAACATAAAATGACAACACTTTAATGCATATGTGAGCATGCAGTTGCATCTATAGGCAAATTTTGAGTGCGACAATTTCCTCTTTTATGGTTATATAAAGGAAAGTTTCACACAGAGCTTCATACATTCAATTAACTGTACCAAACTATTTGTGCTTCCTTTTCAGCAAGAATGATCGATCAATGAAGACATTAATGTGAGCATTTCAAGTGTAGTAATTATATTAGTAATGAAACATGAAGCATACATGTACTAGCTCTCCTTAGCCTTGCCTCAACAACTGTGCATCATTGCATGAAAGTGCATTTTAAATGTGTCAGCTTCACACGGTGTGCTTGTCATGCACTTGGTTTTTCATTTTGCTTACAATAAAAAAAAGTGATTTCATCCTGTATTCCTGTACACTCATCATCTGAAATTATTTTTGATGTGCTGTCTACTCAAACTCAAAAAGTCAAATGCAGTGTCCGTTGTGTCATCTACACATGTACGGCAACTGTCTATTTTGATATGTACATGTATATGTTAGTGTGAATAGTGTCATTGTTAACATCTGGCATTCATGGACATACCATGGACAGTTTACCCATTCCTATTGGTCGAGAGCCCATCACGTGGCCGCTTTTAATTTGTTGATAAAGACATGGCTGGCTGGTCTTAAACACTTTTGCAGTGTCACATGAAATTTGGACTCCTATGAAATCCGGTGCCAGCACGTTTTCTTTTGGTTGCTTCTTCACAATCCTTTCGTAGGCATGTGCAATACAACCAGTGAGTCAGTATTTCATACTCCTAAATTCACACTACACTGGTACATCTGCATTCTGCGCCACATCACGCAGTACGCTCGACGTGCGCGCCAATCTCCGCATAAGGAGTTGTTTACCAGAGGGCCTTACCATTGTATAGCTAAAGGGGTGTTTTGTTGAATGAAATCATTGGAAAATTTATAATTTTTGACTTTTTTTACCAGAAGGTATTTATGAATGGGTTTCGCTCGGGTAATTATCAGCACCCAGACTGCAACCAGTCTTAAGAGCGTTTAATACAGTCTCCCTATCACATTTTTTTCCCCGTATTTAAGTCCTTTCCATTATCGTATAAAATGAACAAATATTGATTGCATTCATCAATACATTATCAATCTTGATTCACTGAAGTTTAAATTATAGTAGTTAAATAATCAGTTTGGTTTGTGCTAAGAGCATGTTAAAATAAACTCGACAATAATCCAGCTCTGTATTTCACCTGTGCACGTGCACATTAACATTTGACAATTTCCAGGATTCAAAACAGCAGGTTACCGGTATGTGCGCTCAAATCTGTGGCAGCAATAGTAGCCAAATCTGCAATACATGGAAACTTTGAGTTTCCATGTATTTCTATAGCAGCAATAGTACATAAATCTAGCAGTCTGCAATTTTTCAAATAATTTTTAAGAATATGGAAGCACAAGTTAGAGCAATCAGATCACTTAAGGATATGGTGCACTTCAAAGTTTTCAGAATCCCCCGCCCCTCCAATTTTACCAGTATCCTAGATACTTCTGAACGCTGATAGTTAATTGTCCCTAAAAAAAAAATCAACCAAACTTAATGGAAGAATAGGCAGCGTGTGTACCACACGTACATGTATGTTTCCATGGGACATTTAGCTTTTGTATTTTACATGCTGATCAAACAATTTCATGTCAACATTTTTAGGGAAACACCGCCATGAAACATGATGCATGACGTGCAAGCACACACAATGCTGCCCAGTCAACCCTCCAATGAAAATATCATCGAAATGGAACCAAAACAGGAGTCCAATCATGTACTTCCCTGTCCAAAATTCTCTATTTTTAGTGGATTTGAAACTACATTCTATAACTTATGTCGGTCTGCTATCAATTATTGTCTGGAACATAATTGAAGGATGTTGGATGAATAGTGTCCTTTTTTGTAACCCCACCTTCCCAGCTCCCCAAACATGTTCCACAAGGTTCTTGGAAACAGTGATGCAGTTTACCAACTTTTTGTTGTTTTTAACAAAATATCATTTCAGGTACCCAAGGTCATAAACCTGCAGACCTTTCCAATATCTTCCCAATATGTTCAACAGATGAATACATGTATAAAGAAATATAGATCTTGTACTTTTGCAAAAATTGCATGTAATCAACTCTATGACTATTAATCAATTTACTGACCTCAAATGGAGACGCCAAATAAAGGAATGCAGCTTGATATATGTATATTTTGGTACTTTTTTTCTTCTTTGAATAGTATTTGTTGAAAATATTCATGTACACACATACCATATTTGCATTTTCTTTTTTTACAAGATGATTGTATGTATTGGGTTTTGCCCTTCACTCACGTCATTTCAAAAGCACTGCACACTGGGGCTTTCCTGGGGGTTTACAAGAACAAAATGGAGCCCATGACCTCCTTTGTGGTCCTTTGAGGTTGTGGTTCAGGTCCCAAACGCTTGTATATTACTTATAACAAGCCCCATAAAAGCACTTGGCTCCTATGGAATTACGTTGGTGAAGGGCAAACCCAGTATTGGATTTACATCTCCCCCACACAACAACTTGCATCAGAAAACAAAGCTTGTTCTTTGTTGCACTATCCTATTTGAGAGCTCATTGTGAAATACATGTGTATGGCCTCTCTGTCCATCTTGTACCTTTTTTCACCAATATTACTTAACTGTCATTCCATTTAGCCTTTTACTTTCTGTCTACAGTGATATTAATGAACTGACATACATGTATATATATATATATGATATAATACACTTGATCTTATTTTAATTTGACTATTTCTGAATCTGATTGTGCTATTGTGCCCGGTAGGAGTCAATTGACTATACAACACACGGCTCCCTAGTTCCTTTCATTATACATTGTATGTGCACTTGTATTTTCTTATTGATTTTGGCAGAGTGTATTGTAAAAGACTACTAATCATGGTGAATTTAGACAAGATGCACAATTTGTTTTCAAATGTATGTTGTTCTGATTTCTAGCACTGCAGTGTTACAGCAAATGACTTTCATTGCCAACCGCCGGTAGGCGTGTAGATTTGGAGTAATCAATTTTGAAAGTCACTTGCTACAGTCTGTTTGCATGGTTCTTAAATGCATCCATGCATGCATTGCTTTCATTCTTTATTCAATTATCTAATTTATGCAACAGGCATTGAGATCTGTAAAAACCTCAACATATGATATAATGAGACTAAATAAACAGTGCAAGTTTGTCACTGGCATTACATGTATTTCTCTGTCATGGGTAATACTTCCAGAATATCAATAATTTGCATGTTGAATGTTAGGTAGTTTACATTATGTAATTCTGTTTCTTTATGCACTCAGTGATGACCAACTTTTTATCAAAGAGATCACCAGAGGGGTGCTTGAAGGCAACAATGTAGGTTGGCTCAACTGGTCTCGCCTCAAGAAGTTAATGCAGAGTGAGAATATGAGAGCGCAGGTTATAAGTCAGCTATCCCCACAAGAGAATACAACAGTACTAGATGATTACATCGAAGACACGGTAAGACTTCATTTGGAATATTTCGGTAACCTTTTTATTTGTCTCTACTTTGTCTTACTTGCCATGCGCCAAGCTCCTGGAATGAGATATTGTCTGTGTCCATTGTCATAATTCTGTCCATTGTCACTTCACTGAACGTTAATTCTGTATACTGCTTTCAACTATCATAACCCAAGCTTTGCAAAAGGTCAAAATGATGTTTGGAATCTATTGCTTGGGGCAGTGCACAAGATCTAAGTGTGCCAATTTTCTGATTCAGTTTAAAACCCATTTATATTATTTCACAACTTTGATGTAAAATGAAAGTTTTCAGATGCATGATTCAAATTGTTTGATGTCAACAAAAAAACTCCTTTGTAAGACTACTTTTTTTTCAGTTCAAAGAGGACATGGCCACAATGTATGTTTTGATTTAAACAATAACACAATTATATTTAGGTTTAAACAATAAAACAGTTAGATCAAGGTGATTTAATGTGGTTATTCTGGGATCTCCGTAGGCACCGTCGATATCGTATTTTGGCCGATACCGATATATCGGTTTTTTTTATATCGATATATCGATATTTTATTCATTTTAATTTTCAAGGTATTATAACAGGCGTGAATTGCATGGGATCTACTCTTTCGTTCGCCTAAAAAAAAATTGCTGACAACTAATCTGCGTGGGGACGTATTAAGTCGTGTACCCCAAACACGACGGGTGATACGGTCAATGACCACACCAGACCCTTGACTTACAGATCTCATGGCATCTGCTGAAGTGTGCGATAGTGGTTTCGGAATCTATATCATACAGTACACCTTTCCAGTCACAGTAACAAAACGTGAAATTCATTTTTTGCACCAAAATGTCCAGGATAGTGCAACAGATGTCATCATTAGTGGTTCTGCACTATGTTTCTTAAATTTTGTACACATAAAGTCTGAAATGTTCAATCAATCATTGTTATTTTAGATATTATCAACGAATTATGCTTTTTAGAGTGTGGCCAATGCATATTTATGATTATGCAAATAAGGGTGGAGTTTGCAGACCGATGTCAATTGAGAATACATGTAACTGCAACTGCCTACCGATATGGTGTTGCTAGGCAACTGTATATCCATGGTGACAGTGCATTTTAAAGGGGCTACTGATGGGTGGGGCATTTTTTTCCCGGCGAGAGCGTGTGGGAAAATACAAAACGATGCAACTTCTTCAAACAGCTAAATATAAGTAAACCAAATTTCACGTCTTTCGGGAAGTCCAACCTCACAATAAAGGATCATGTTTCTACAACTATAGGTTTTCCCGAACAATTTCACCAAGGTTTTCATTCAATTTAATGCCTGGCTCATTCGATCTAGATTGAAATTGAAAGATCACGCAGATCGGCATTCGACAATCAAAAATAATCATTCAATTTCACTATCCAAGCATTCTATCGACTTTTAGCTTCACTCGTCCCTGCAAAAGATGCCTTCATATTAAAAGTAACGCGTTGTTCATTCAATTTCGTCTAAACCATTAGTAAGGGGTTGATCGGGCATTTGTTTTCATTAATGGGCAAACATATTTCACATTTTGTCAAACATCTTTTAAGACTTCATACATGTCCGTATTCCTTATCATATTTGATGACTATATAGATTGAGTTTCTTTCTTAATTAAAGGGTATGTGCAATGAATTTTTATCAGGAATTCTTTTTGCACAACTCTGCATGTGAAATGTAAGAAAACTATACACATTTTACAACACTTTTTGGGTTGATCTTATTGCAAATGTGCACTTCTTTAAACATTTAAAAGTTTCCATGCTTTTCCGGAATAACGCTGTTACTGTGATGTCATTTCAGGAAGACACTGTTCAGTTTAGGGTTTTCGATAGTCTTTAATATACGTTAAATGTGAAGTTAAATATTGACTTTCATTTTATTTTTTTATTTGTTCGTTATCTGGGGTTTTTTTTGGGGGGGAAGGTTGCAAAATCCCCCTACCCCCTTTCCGTTGCGCCGCATTGACACTAGGTTGGGTCACAACACGATGTACTCTCCTCACCGTGGTGGTCACGTCCACTATGACTTCACATTCAATGAATCTGTGTACCCCCATCATACAACCCCGCCATTCTCTTAGAAATGGTATATCAAGCTCTGATAAGTGGGTTTTTTTTTTCCCCAACCACATCCATTACACAAATCAGTAGCGACACTGCTGCCTTTGGGTCTGTCACAAAAAAGGTATGGGAAACACAATGTACTTGAAGAAGTAACACTAGTCTTTAAAAGACTAACTGAGGTACCCCCTTTTATACCCCAATTCAGAAATTGCTACAGTTGAGAGGTTAATAATAATTCTACAGACGACAGAACCAGTAACTGGGTTGATATAGATGAGGCAAGAGTGTAAGAAAAAAAGGGTTTGCCAACATTTCCAACTGTAAAGGCGTCCCTACTCCAACACATTAGAAGAGCTATCGGAGGTAGATTTTATTATATGAAAAGCGGTCAAAATTGTCCACGGTGGACATATTGAGTATCCCCCCCCCTCTCCCCCCATTTTGAAAATGGATGCCATGCCTCTAAAAGGGTAAGTTTGTGATGGCTTCACATTCAAAAAAAAGAAAGATTCTCATATATATATTGCTGTGTGGAGTTAAATCCATTTATGGAAGGTAGGCACAACTTTTTTTTATAGGGGCATCAAGACTACCCCCCCCCCCATATTACCATGGCTGCCACGCCCCTAAAATGGTGTGTTTGCTATGGTTCCACGTCTGAGTTTTTTTTTTTCTGGTGAATATTAATATCTGTGGGAATTAGCTTCATTCGTTAATGAGATATGGGCACATTTTTCCCATGGTGGGCATAATGAGAGCCCCGCCCCCTTTTTTTCAATATGGCTGCCACGCCCCTCAAAGGGTGTATTCGTGATGGCTCCACATCTTGAATTTTTTTTCTCATGAATGTCAATGTCTGTGGAAAGTTCCATTTCTCTGTGAATGTGGGAAAAATATTTCCATGGTGGACATTATGAAAACCCCGCCCCCCTTTTTTGCTAATATGGTTGCCACGCCCCTAAAAGGGTGTATTCGTGATGGCTCTACATCTGGAATTTTTTTTCTCATGAATGTCGATGTCTGTGGAAAGTTCCATTTCTCTGTGAATGTGGGAACAATATTTCCATGGTGGACATTATGAAAACCCCGCCCCCCTTTTTTCATAATATGGTTGCCACGCCCCAAAAGGTTGTGTTCGAGATGGCTCTACATCTGGAATTGTTTTTCTCATGAACATAAACGTCTGGGGGACGTTTTATTCGTTCATGAAATATGGGCACAATATTTTATAAGGTGGTCATAATAATTTACCCCCCCCCCCCCTTTTTTTTTAAATGGCTGCCACGCCCCCCAAAAGGTACTTTTGTGGTAGCTCCAAGTCTGGAAAACATTTATAATCTATATAATTATGTCTTTCTGTAGTTTCCTGCTTTTGTAACAAGTGGGAACAACCGTTTTCACTTTGGGCACGACAAGTCCCACCCCCCCTTTTCTTAAATTAATGCCACGCCCCTAAAAGGGTACATTTGCGATGGCTCCACATAAAAACATTTTCTCACATGATTACAAAGATCTGTGCCAAGTTTCATGCTTTTATGCAAAAGTGCACAATTTTTTCACATATCCGCTGGACTATACTCACAGAACTTGATCTCTCTTGTCTGTGTATGTATTTCCTGTGTTCATGAATTTATTTCGAGGAAATACTACTGGTATATGAAGTGAAACGATGCAGCGAGTTTCACCGAAATCACATACCGATAAACGAAGCTCAATGCCGGCCCACTGCCGGTCCACAACACACAGTTTATCATCGCACGTTCGTACTAAGCGAAGTTCAGACATTGTTAGCCAGTTTCTCCTCGTAACTAGCATTGAGCATATGGTATAAATGACCTGCATTTTCTATTATTTTTTTAGATTATCAACGGCATATATTTTCGTTAACACTTAAGGCAAGTTTTCGTCATTTTTGAGGCCCTTTTTGTATAGCTTTCGTAGTGCAATGGAAATAGTTCAGACTGAACATTTTCATATAATTTTAACAAATCTGAAAACAAATATTCAGTTGCTGTGTCATGTATATGTGCAGTTTATTAACTCCATTTTCCAAGAATAATTAAGTGATGAACCAACTGACAACTGTATTAAAAAATGAAAGCGTAAGCAGAATTCAAACCTTTTATTAATCTCCATTTAGTTATTTTTTTTATATAAATTTTACCTTGTCTTACAGTTACAAAAATGAAAGAAGTTTAATAAGCCACTTAAGCATATTATCATGCCAAAACTAGTAATAATAATGCAGCCCCTTGAATAAATCCTGATATTCAAAACAAAACAAAAACAATGTTTACCATCGTTTATCCATGGATTTCAAGGAGAGCAAATCGCTCTCCTTAAAATACATTTGCTCTCCTCAAAGATTTGAGGAGAGCATATATAGCTCTCCTGTATTTTCTTTAAATGAAGGACTGCTGTGCCCCTGCAAGAGAATTAGACTAATTTTCCAGGGAACTAGCCAAGTGCACACACGAAACGGGCAACTCGTAAATACATGTAGCATTTTGTTGTCTTCCTGTCACATACATGTAGTGCAAAATGTTTTTTTTTTCCTTATTTATGACACAGGTCTTGTAAAAATAGTTCAGGTCCAGTAAGATTCTTCGGTTACTAGACCTGCTGTCTAGTGGGGTTTTTTTCATGAAATTCGAGCCCTGTTCAGGGGCCATGTTTGTGTCTGGCTGGTTTTAAACACTTCCTACCAGTGTTTTATCAGCGGTTTAAAACCACCCACGTGACTGTCTCTCGACCAATTAGAATGGGTAAACTGTATCAAATATTTATGAATGACTGATGAATGACTGACGAATAACTGCATCTGAATTGATTGAATTAATCTGCAGTTGTGTATGTTTTGGTTGTTTTAATAGTAAATGGCATTGTTCCCTCTCTCTCTTTCACAGCAAGTGAGCAAAGCAGTGTATAAGGGGATTGTATCTGTCTTGAAGGCTGTGATTGCCGGACTGGAATACTCTTTCTATACCCAGCCAATAGGAGGATTTGCCAGTGCATATGCCCTCCTTGAGATTGCTCACACACACTACTTTGGAAAGGAACCTGATAAAGGCAAGAAAGCTCATTTGCATGGTGATGGGATTAGAAGTGAGAGTGCTTATGCCATTGAGGGTTCAGTGGTTGTCACACCAGATGAACAGCATGGTGGCAGCATGGCTGCCATTCCTGAAACACATAGTCTCAATGAGGATAATTTTATTGCTGCTATAGGTGAGCTGCTTATATTTCAGTGTTTACAAAGAATTATCCCCTCAAACAGTAAAAGTGATATAAACAGTTCATACATGTTGATATACATGTATGCGCATTGTTTTGCACAATTTGTGTAGCATCTTGCACAGTTATCAATAATTCAAAACATTTTGCACAGTATTCTTACTACGTTTGTATGGGGAGTCTGTAATGTGCATGGCACTTTTACCATTCTGACAGGAAGATTTGTTTTAAGGGAGAGGGGGGCTTCTAGTGATAATGCAGTCTAAATGCTTTCCAAATGGCTGTATATGATGCTGATAGATGCCACGAAGTACAACAAACAAACAAACAAACAAACAGATGATGAAGCAATGTATGATGGAAGTGGTATTTTTTACAAATTAAATATATTATGTGTGCAGTATTTTCACCAATTTCAGCTGCATTTACCAGACGGATATGTACATAGATGTAAGCATCACATATCAGTTATAGGCTGTACATGCCATTCATAAGCTTGTTTTCAGTCTGTTTTGTGTCTGTCGCACACCTGTATTTAGACCACGATGTTAACTATATAAATACACCCTATGGACAATAGTAGTAGATGTCTGATTTTACTGTACAACTGAGGACTCTTATTGTTGCCTTCTTTTGTTCTAAGTGTTTGGATTTACAGTTTTTCCCAACATATCCCATAAGGTTTGAACAATGACCTTCTGAGGACTTGGCCCAGGTCCCGGGATTATTTTTTATCACAGGTTACCTATTCCATGCCCTCAGACAAATGTCCTCAGATAACCCTAGCGGTTCAAATCACAGCATGGACACAGGGTAGCAATGGAAATCCAATTTGTGGACATAGGATGATGCAAATGACTCCAAATAGACTGAAAGCGCACTTTATGAAAGGCTTGAAGCTTGTTGCTGGCTTGAATGTACCGCCAAAAACAAATACTGCAAATCAGCAATGCATTTTCTACAGATTATGGTTAGAACTAGTCCACGTGAGTGTGCGTGGTTTGTATTGAAATGATGTCACTCTCACATGTTACCAACAAAATAGTTATACAGTCGACTCCCGTTAGTGCAAAATCAGATAAGACAAAATCCTGGTTATAACGAAGGAATATCTTCGGTCCCTGCAAAATTGTACAGGTATCTATGGAGGAAATTTGCTGAAGCCAAAATTGGGTAGTAAAATTGTTCTGTTATAACGAAAAGTTTTGGCGACCCCCTGGCATGTAAAGCATTGTTAGTGACCCATTTATTACAAAGTTTTGAAAACCACAAAAGCTTACTAACTTCATGGCTTTTTTCCTTTCTTTCAGACCTAATCTGAAAGCAGCATAATTAGTCATCAATAGGTTCAAGTCAGCTTTGTTTAATCTTGCCCACACTGTGGTACAATCACTAATCGCGCACTGTGGTTAGCAACAAAGGCCTGTTATCAAAGCATGCTGATGATACCATGATACAATGAGGCCCAGAAGGAAACACAAGAAACCACAAGCCGGGAAAGCAAAAACAGAAGTAGCCTATTTAAAGTGACATCTTCTGCACCCTTGCTGACATGGACAACAAGATCTACGCGGATCGTTGAAGTTGTTTGAAGTCAACCAAACAAATTCAAATGGCTTTTTTCAGTTAAAAAAAAGAGATTGGCGCATTGGCAAATAAAAATAACGAATGAAACAAAAACTTTACGGCACACACCATGCAATCACGATGTACCATTATGACATCATTGCTCAGGAGACTGTCTCATGAGGGCGCTTTCTCATCAACTGACCAAGCAAGCAAACAAGTTTGGATTGTGGATCAGCACGTGAAAATTACATGTAGAAATGAACCAAGGTCTGATGGTCTTTTTATTACATTTTAAAGGTTTTTTTTGGTATTTACTTATGATAATAGGAATATATGTACCGTACCTTTACACATTTTCACAAACAGTTCTTTTTAGTCCACTTCGTGTCCTACTTACCTGTTGGACCTACAAATGCATATTTCCTTAACTATGTAAATTAACCGCTAAAGTAAAGATTTGCTATAGCGTGCCACAGCGCCCTCCTGCGCCAGCGCCCACAATAGTCAGAGCCACCGCCATTATCGTCCTCTTTTTCTTTAGCGCTCGTGACAGTAGGACGTGTTTTTCAATGCTCACAGTAGCATGCATGTTTCTACTGGATGTAATCGCTATTTGTTATTAATTTTCTCAAGATTTGCAATACATTTGTTTCTCGGAAGCACTAGGTGTGTTTCTGGTTACATTTGTTGGTTTTTTGGACGAGTTTTATAAACGTTTTTATTAAACCGTTTTATGACCTCGTGTTTTTGCGTGTATACATTGTACATTAAAGAATACGTATGTGTTTGTATTTGAAGAAAATCCTACTATAGTTCTGAGACTGTTCTGGTTTTTAGGGTCTTTGATTAAAATGCCTCCCAAAAATTTCGTGACTTGTGATAAATGTCACAAGATTTTGCCGAATAGCCTAGACGACTCCCACGAATTATGTCCTAAGTGTAGGCCATGTTCTAGAGCTCTTAGGTGTGCCATTTGCGAGTCATGGGGCTCCGAAATGTGGACGAAGATTGACACCTGGCTAGCGAAATCTACAGACTCGGCAAGAAGTGAAGCTTCGACCACTTCTGGAAAGAAAAAGAAGTCATCGAAGCGGGTAAGTACGGAGCCACCGCGGTCCGTTCCTGGTATTGGTTTTACCTATCCTATCGGACGCGCGACGGGGCTTTCGCGGACTGGAGCCAGGCCGATGGCCGAGGGTTCCAGTGCCGCATGTCTTTCCCGGGGACAGGTTTCGGGCACGGAAGTGTCGCAGGCCAGTCCCCATAAGGGAAGGAAAAGGACTAGTAGTGGGCGCGATGCGCCGAAAACCACCGGCCCTGACTCGGTACAAACCGGGGCCAGACGGAAGTCTGCAAGCTCCCGGGCTGATGAGTCAGCAAACCGAGAAAAACATCGGTCTACGTCGGCAATCCCGGCGACCGACGCCAGGATTTCCCCGAGAGCAGATTGCTCCGAAGAGGATTCCCCGGATTGTCCTCAGCCACCGGTTGAGGGCACAAACCCGAAGAAACAAAAACCGATCGGCCCATCGCGTTAACGTTCGGCCCCGAACGTTGGTCTGGGGAACCGAGCGGAACCGGGCCCTATCGGTCTGACAGCCGCCGCGTTTAACCCGGCACCCGCGCCCGGTCAAACCCAGAGCGGGGGGTGGCACCCGGGGTTCTTTCGGACGTTCCTTCGGGAATTTCTGATTTAATGGCTCGTCACAGTGGATCGCAACATCGATCACGGCCCAAGAATAAACGGCGCCGGGCCCATAAATCCCGCCGCCGCCGTTATTCTAGCTCTTCAACGAGCGACAGTGCCAGTACGTCGCCGACTTCTGGCCAGTCATCGGACCACCCACGTCATCGCAAACGCGGACGGAGAGACAATACATCGGATTTATTGCTGAAAGGTTTTCTGAAAGGTTTTCAGGCTTTGTCGGCTCAGTTGGCGGCATTGGCGCCACAACAACTCCCAATTTCCCCTTGAGCTGAGGCCGAAGATCGGGAATTTGACCGGGAATCAGGCGGCGCTATTTCTATTCACCCGTCTGATTCATTGCAAGAGTCGGACTCGGACGTCAACCGCGCTACGCGCAGAGACGCCAAGAGACCTTCACCTACTCATTCTGCAGCTGTAGATACACACGAGGCAACAACTAAGGCTAACCTCGAGTCCCGGCCGGGTCCATCTTCGATGGATCGGCCATCCGACATGGATTCTTCCGGGAGTCATCCTTATGAGACTACCGATAATAGATTTCGTGAAGTGATGTGGGATATGGTTCGTATATTAAAGATTCCCATTCCTGAACAATCAGAATCTTCACAAGGTACACGGCCTAGTTTTAAGAAACGCACAGGTGTACCAGAGCGGGATTCCCCGAAGTCAACCTTTCCGGAATTCCCGGTGTACAGGTTTTTTTCTAACCGTCTTAAAACAATAGCTGCTCAGAAAAAAATGGCAACCCTTTGCCAAGGCAGCATGTCATCCCTTTCGGGTTCCAAAGCAGGATACTGAAGAATTTTTAACAGTTCTGGTTATCCCAGACAATGCAAAGGACAAGATGGGGGCAGATACAGGGAAACAATCACTTAAAGTTCCCTTTGCCGATCCTGTCCGGAGTAAGCTTGAAGAGGCATTACATAAGGTTGATGCAGCATCCCGCATGGGTCTGCAAACGACTTCATTTATGCTTCTTTTGTCAGAATACTTGGTTACTGCATGTGATTCCGGTTCCAGTGTTTCTCCTACAATGGCTGTCAATGCCTTTCAATGTCTGGAGGATGGATTACGCATCATCCTAGACCAATTTGCTAGGTTCTCTGTACTTGCCACGGTCTCCAGACGTTCCAATGTTCTAGAAACGATCTTCTTCCCTTCAGAAGGGGCGAGAAAACGCATGGAGGCCCTTCCTTTATGGAGCAAGGATTTGTTTGCGGATCAGTTCCAGACGATGATGGAGGCCGAGGCCAAACGTCTAGAAGCAACAGACCGTATTAATTTACAGGCCCCTCGGAAGAAGTCACAACCAACAGCTAAGGTCCCGACTACTTCGAATAGGGCCAAAGGGTTTAGAAAACCTTTGCCCTCCTTTCGGACACCCAAGTCTACCCAATCAACCACTGTGGCTCGAGCAACACCAGCAAAAGCCGCAACAACATCGCAGACAACTTCGGACGAAGTTTTGGCTGGCCAACCTCAAGAGGTCGTGGCACGCGGTTTCCCTCCTGCCAGAATTCTTCTTGAGCGGGTCGGGGGTGGCGTCTGTGACGCTGGTTCTCCATCCGTGGCCCCCCAGATTGGGCCCGTGGGGGGCCACTTAAGGCAATTCGGGGAGACTTGGGCCCACTTTTGCACCGATGGGTGGGTGCTTCAGACAGTCACACAGGGGTACAACCTCGAGTTTACGAGCACTCCTCCATCGGTAATGTTCTCACGTCCCACCCCTGTTCCATCAGACAGAGAACAGCGGAGGGCATTGGAGAAAGAAATAAAAACCCTGCTATCAAAGCAAGCAATTCAACCGGTACAAAGTCCAGTAGAAACATCAGGTTTCATGTCGACATTCTTCCTTACACCCAAGAAGAAGCAAGGCGAGTGGCGTCCTATTCTGAACCTAAAGCCGTTGAACAGGTTTATTCGTCCATGGCGGTTCCGTATGGAGACCCTGCGCACCGTCTTAAATTCTCTTCCAACACCATCCTGGGCCGCATCAATAGATCTGCTTATCAGGATGCTTATCTTCACGTACCCATTTGCAAGGAACACAGAAAATACCTTCGTTTTCAATACAAAAATACAATTTTCCAGTTCCTCACTCTTCCGTTCGGTCTGTCAACATCACCAAGGGTCTTCACCAGAGTAACAAAGACCCTGGCAACAATACTTCGAAGAGCAAATATAATGATATTCCTCTACCTGGACGATTGGTTAATCGTAGGCAGGTCCAAAGAGGAAGTTCGACAGTCCTTAGAAGTAACCGTCGACTTGACGACAAGGTTAGGGTTTCTGATAAACTTGGAAAAGTCTCATCTGGTCCCCACCCAGACACCATCTTTTCTAGGGGCAGAAATCTACCTGGTAACAGGGATCGCTAACCCTTCGAGCGAACGAGTACACAATGTCCAGGAGTGCGCCACACTGTTCCTGACGGCTCGATCAGCACCAGCGGTGGCCTGGCTACGACTGCTGGGCCTAATGGCCAGTCTGGTCGATCTAGTCCCATGGTGTCGCCTGAGGATGCGGCCAATTCAAATGCATCTTTTGGCTCATTTTCGACCCAGTCAACATCCTTTGTCAAGGAGCATACCAATACTGAAGCCAATCATCCCCCACATTCATTGGTGGACAATTTGGAGCAACCTGAGTCAAGGTTTGCCTTTTCCTCCTCCACTTCCCACGGTGACTTTTACGACAGATGCGTCCAACATGGGATGGGGTGCGCATCTGCAGTCACAGCAAGTGTCAGGTCTTTGGACGCCAGACGAACTGATTTTCCACATCAATGTTCTGCAGTTTGCAGAGCCTTATCCCAGCTCATCAGCCTAGTCGAACAGAAGGTTGTAATGGTGCAATCCGACAACTCAACTGTAGTGGCCTACATAAATCGCCAAGGAGGAACACGTTCCCCCCAGCTGTGCTTCCAGACTTGGAAGCTACTCCTTTGGTGCATAGATCACAACGTAACTCTTGTGGCATGTCACATACCAGGCGAGTTGAATGTCACGGCAGACGCGCTGTCCAGAGGAAAGATCCTTCCAACAGAATGGCAACTACACCCAAAAGTTGTCCAAACACTGTTCAATTCAATGGATCGTCCCAACATAGATCTATTCGCGTCATCGCTGAACAACCAATTGCCGGTATACTGCACTCGAGTCGTGGATCCGAAAGCCTGGGCAGTCGATGCCTTAACAATCGACTGGACAGGCATGTACGCATATGCATACCCACCGATCTCAATTCTCTCGAGGGTACTGCACAAGATACGCAAGGTGATGCTCATAGCTCCATTTTGGCCTCGCCAAACCTGGTTCCAAACGATGATCAGGTTGCTGGTTCATCAGCCCATCATCCTCCCGCAGAGACCAGATATACTGAAACAGACCCGGCCCAAGTTGAACCACCCGGATCCGGAGTCACTACGCCTGACCTGTTGGCTATTGTCCAGCATTCAATGTGAACAGCAGGCCTTTCTGAGGAAGCTGCCACCTTGGCAGCCTGTGGCGGAGATCGTCTACAAGGAAGACATATAAAAGCCGACTCCGACATTTTTTTAGGTGGTGCGACGGGAGGGACGTGGATCCCCTCTCTGCATCTGTAACCATGGTTGGGGACTTCCTCCTCCACCTGTTTAATACAGGGCTTACATTGGCCACAGTAAAAAATTACAAGTCGGCCATTGCTGCAGTGCATCAAGGTTTTCAAGATGGCTCCTCTGTATCAAACAACCTGGCACTAGGTCAACTGCTCAAAGGCATGTTTACAAAGCGTCCTCCTCAACGTAAACTTGCCCCAGCATGGGATTTAGGAGAGGTCCTGCGTAATCTGGCAAACCCGCCCTATGAACCTCTTGCGACGGTACCCTTGTTGGATCTGTCAGTCAAGGTAGCTTTCCTCCTCACTGCTGCAACAGCTAGGAGACGGAGCGAGCTCCATGCAGTGACCCTGGACAAGGGACACATAAGATGGGAGCCTCACGGAGTATGTCTCATCCCTCGAAGTACTTTCCTTACTAAAAACCAGTCTCCTAACTTCCAGCCTCCGGACAACTTTGTTCCTGAATTGAAATCATTATCTTCGGTCCCCGAAGATAAGAAATGGTGCCCAGTTGGAGCTCTAAAATGGTACATAGCTCGCACAAAACCCATCCGCGGTGGGGAGTCTCAACTGTTTATAACTTCGACTCCTCCCCACCGCCCAGCATCCCGTGACACAATTTCTCGATGGATAGTTACAGCTATCCGATCCCAAATGCCAGACAGTCCTCGGAACGAATCCCGTCGGACGATTCATGCTCATGATACAAGGGCGGTCACAACGTCATGGGCACTATTGCGGGGTGTTCCTGTGGAAGATATAATGCAGGCAGCATGTTGGAAAACAGCAACGACCTTTTCGTCATGTTACCTGAGAGATGTCCTCTTAACAGAGGGGCGGACTGGGCGGGTGACAATGTCAGCCACCATGCCATCAGCTGCCCCAAGACAACCCTCCAAAGAGGTCTCAACCCAGGCTGTTGTACCAACAACTCAACAGTAGGGTGAGTAAGGCTCATGGTAGTTTGTAATGTGCCTCTGTGTAGTCCATGAGGGGATTCCTTATTTGTGTGTCCTTCTTTGACTCAATTGCAGCCCACTCCCACCACCAATTTCGGTGCCAGTCTATGCATTTGTATGTCCAACAGGTAAGTAGGACACGAAGTGGACAACCCCCAAACTATGGTGTTTGGTTGTCCACGAGGGGACTACTTACCTGTTGGACCGTCCCGCCCGCCTTTCCCCACAGTGGGCTCCTCCTTTGGTGTGATTCACTCGCGCTAAAGAAAGAGGACGATAATGGCGGGGGCTCTGATTATTGTGGGCGCTGGCGCAGGAGGGTGCTGTGGCACGCTATAGCAAATCTTTACTTTAGCGGTTAATTTACATAGTTAAGGAAATGTGCATTTGTAGGTCCAACAGGTAAGTAGTCCCCTCGTGGACAACCAAACACCATAGTTTGGGTTTTTTTATTTTGTTTGATAATACTACATACCCGATACGATTTTCTATTTTGTGTTGATTACGCACGTGAACATCATGCACGTTCATAGGGCTTACACAATGGTGAACAATGTTTTGGAAACTATTGCATCGGATTATACGAAATTTGGATACAACACACATTTTGATTACACGTAAGTCCCGTGGATCTTGTACTAACAGGAGTCGACTGTGCTGTGCATGTGATATTTATTATAATTTTTTTTTATTGTTTTAAGAGCAGTTTTTCCACATGAAAATGACTAATAGGCTGCCATTTCTTGTCTATTTTTCTACTTTGTCTATTCATGCTGGCCATTAATTTGCATGGAAAAGAGAGTAAGCTTTACAATTAGCTAGTGTTATGTGCCTGTGGTTTTTCAATGTTGTGCTATTTATGTATACGCTTTGTGAATGTCACCTTATTTACCAGATACAGACAGTACATGTACCTATATGTCTCCCCCCCCCCCATTAAAAAATAAAATAAAAATACAAAACAAAGCAAAACCCCCACCCTCAACACCAAAACAAAATTCTGCTCCCATACAGAAAGGTAATTTGGTTAGAATTTGACTCTTTGAAACACACACATTGCATGATCCAATCATCATGCATCTTGATGTGTACAAAGAGTGTACAAAATGTGTCTTTTGTGCAAAGGGACATCACTATGACTTTGTTTTTGTCATAACCCTAACTACCAACTGTCTTAAGTAGAGGACCAAGTTGGCAAAAATACATCACTCAATCTGCTTCCAATACATGACGTACATGTAATGGAATCCACCACTGATGAAGTACTGGTGGACTTAGTACACATGGCTATATGACAACAGCAGTACAGGATGCTAGGCAATATTCAAGCGGATTCCCCTAGCACTGCTTCAGGCCGTCAGGCCCAAGTCCATCATACTCCATCAACATTTAGTCAAACCAAGCCTGCAGGACCAAGTCTTCCAATATCCACTGAAATGGAAGGATGGATTTTGATGAAGTTGGGGAGTTTAGGGTTAACATTTGTTACTGCACGACAAAATTAGCATAATATTAAAGAGGCAGTAAGTCCTGAAATCCCCGAAAATGTCATGTTTTGGATTGTTTACTTAAACTAATTACAAGGTCAAGTTGAAAGGACACTAACCTAATGTCTTACTGTTCCCAAGAAAAGACGGGAAAAAAATTGGTTGCTACATCAGACACGACTGAGTACGCATACGTTTTTCCTGTCATTTTTATCCAATGTACGACACAATTGTGTATGTCACATAAATTACACGTGGAACCATTGCACAAATGTGGTTTCTTATACATCCGCAAAAGGCTACACTTTACGGCTGGAATCACAACTAGCCCTGAACAGTCTGATTTTGGGGGTCACAAAATTGGACCCCAAAATTCATTTTCGCACAAGAATAACACAAAAAAGGCCCAGTTTTTTTAAGGATTGTTTTGAAGTTTTGGACCCTCAAGCCATATCTCACGAACGCATTGTGCTAAATTCATAATTCCTTTCGTATTAGGTTTGTTCAGCAATTGGTATATGCACATAATTTGGAATTATTTGTGACGTCATGATGACGTCATCAAAAAGACGAATTTGTAAAGCACATATACATTAAGCAGGGATATGATTTCTCCATTTTTTTTCCCCCACAAATCCGTGTTTTTTTTTTGGCTTCAAATGTCAACCAACGTGAATCATGTGAATCCGTTGAGAAAATAGGGGGGTAGAATGTGCTAATTAATTATTCATGAGTTTTGCTTGCCGAAATATCCGACAGACATTACTTCGTTGATCGATATACATGTATCTTACGCACGCACATATTGAATACCCAATGTGAGAACGAAGTTGAAGACCATGCGTTGCCGTTAGTGCGATCATGTGATTTTTCGCTCGGGTCCGAAGTTGTGATTATTTAGGTGTAGTTCCTGTGTCGGTATTCGAGATGCATGTGTTGCGCTGGTCAGGTGTACTGACTAATATTACTCAGCGTGCACAATGGCATACATTACAGTACAGTCATGTGGATTATGCACATTGTTTTACGTGCGTCGGCTCAGAGTGTTTGTGTACATATGCTTCCAACATAGCTGCGCCCAACAAGTCGATCCTGTTGCAAGGAGATTTATAAGTGCGAGAGCTTGATAAAGAAGTGAAAAATAAGTTCCGGTGGGAATGGTTTCGGGACTCTGTTATTATTGACGGGCATCAGCATGAATTTCAAGAGTGTTTCAATAAAATAGCAACCACTGGCAAGGTTTTTGGCAATGCCTTTTTGCAATGACATTATAAACTACGCATGGAGTGGAAAAAAATCGCTCGTGTCCCATGTGAAACACCCAAAGCACATCAAAGCATGGCAAATACAGCAAAGTAACATGAAAATGCATGGTTCTCAACTTTTGAGTACAGAAGAAACTTTATAAGAACAAGAGCACATTTTAACAAATGAAGCAAAATTCTTCTTAAAATTAAAACAAATTCTGCTCCAAAATTTCAGAGGAAAGTGCCCAGTAATTGCCTCAGATTGCACCACAGAGCATCTAAAATCAAATTTTTTTCTTATTCCTGGCACAAAACCGGTGTTACCAGAAGTGCAATAAAAATTGAATCTAACTCTAAAACAGAAGCATTTTACTACATGTATATGGAACTGCTAAGTGAGGAATGCCAGATACAAAAAAAACCCAGTATGATGATGTCATCATCTGAAAGAGCGCCCTCTAATAGAACTTGTTTTTTTTTAAATTCGAAAATCATCCGTCCATATTTTACTAAATCGCCCCTTAATATTTTTTGATTAACCACAGATATTTTTGCAAGTTTTCAAAATCATGATGTCATCAGACTGCATTTTTTTTAATGAAATAATTGTCTGCCTGACCACTCTGCATTTGTAACTCAACAAACACGAACCTCTAGTTATGAACCTTTACGTCCCGACTTCTATTCTTTTTTTTTCTATTGAAGCCTTCAACTATGTAGCATATTATTTAGGGTACGGAGATTTCCTTGTGGAGTTGTATTGTTGTTTTTGTTCATTGTACCCCCATAACCCACCGCTGTTTTCAGGGCAACATTAGGTTTGTGTGCATGTCTATGCTTTAGTTCGTATGAAACGCCCTCTTATGACTGAATTTCTCCAGTCTTGTTTTGCGTAAAAACAGCTCACCGGAGGACGTCTTTTCAATCGCTTTTTTATATTACAATAAATATATTACAATAGATATATTACAATAAATTGACAGAAAAAGGACAATTATTTTTTGTCAGATAGACTGTGAATTTTTCGGCAAGACATTTGATTAGAAAACTCCTTCAAAAAATTACCTTTCATTTTTATCGATGTTCATAAATGTCTCAATTGGAAGGAAAATAACATTCAGGTTTCGTGGGATTTTTCGTCATCTGGGTAAGTTCATTCCGAATCAAGTAAATTACCATTGGAAAGACTACTTAAAGGAGAATATTACTGTTGAAGACTTGAGAGAGAAAACCTCGATGGAGCCACGTACGTAGCTATTTAATACATACCCGGTACACTGAATGTAAACAAACGGCACCATATGTGCATAAATCCAATAGCAGGCACTAGCGTACATCCCCCTCGCTGGAAATGTATACTCGCGGGGCACCGGCCAATCACGCGTTGGCGTGGTAGGCCTACTTGTTTGAATCGCGAACCCCGCTTACTGTGCTGTTGAATCGCGAAAACCACAGTCAGTGTTCAGTAAACCCACCAGGGAATCCCCTCATTTGCAGGCGAGTTTGGGGGTTTTCTCTTTTGAAATCACCATTAATACAAAATATAAAGTCTCATTGATGTTTTCGTGGCAGTCTTAATTCAAACTTATTTACTTGATTACAGAAAAAAGTTTTATTTTGGACACTTTTTTTTGCTGGTTGCTGGCTTTCGGAGGTTTTTTTTTCGTGAAAATAACGACATGGCATTTAAAATCTTAGATGGAGATGCTCAAGTTATTCATTTTTTAACCTATATTCGGACAAATCTTATGGCTTCAATAACTATTTCTTGCATTATGAGCAGTTTTTTGGAAGGCCGTTCTCAGCGATTTGTTTTTACGAACATGCTCATGAATATTAATTTTACAAAACAACCCAGAAAAACTGGCACATGCGCATAAACCTAATGTCGCGCTGTGAGCCTCTGGAACAGCGGTGAACCCCTGATATATCTAATAAAACAGGTTTGATCATATCATATGGTTAGACACAGGTTGGTTTGATGGTGTTCATCATATAACTTCCCCTTTGGACAGCCTTTTTTTCCCTCTTCAATTTTTGTTTTTATTTAACACACACATTACATGTACAGTACAGACACACAGTTGTACATTACCATTACATGTATACATAGGAAGACGAGGCATTTTATTTCTTTTTGTTCATATAACACTCTCCTAAAAGCACACAATCCATGAGGAGCATTCTCAACAGAAGAATACATTTTTAAGGAAAACAAGAGATCTTTCGTTCCCTCTGTCTTGCTTTCTTCAGACAGTATATTATACATGTACATACATGTTTGTCTGAAGAGGAGATATGCAAACACAGATAGACTTCATCCAGTGTGTGGGTTCAGCACAAAAGCATATTAACAGTCCCTTTCATGTGCACTAAACAACTAATTATGAACTAGTGCTTTAGTGTTTGTGAAACAATGTTTGTGAGATAAACAAACCTGATTTATAGATAAATACATTTTCTTTTAAAGGTTGGGAGAAAAGAGGTTCTGTAGTGAGTAGCAGCAGTACAAGCACAGAAGAAGGCGCAATCAGAGGTAAGAAATGACACCATTCAAGACTTACACAATACCTCAGGTTTTGGGGAAGATAATCCAATCTGTCTTCAAAAGTAGTTTTTACTAAATTAGTTTCATCCATCTTTTGAATTCGTACGGTGCTTTCAATTATATCTCAGTGCAACATAATGGTTAACATTTGAAGGCAATATATCACTTGTTAAAGAGGAATTTTGTTTACCAGAAATAAATGTGTGTTGGGAAAAACTAAAGAGGTAAGGCTTGGTGATGGTCACAGGAATTGGGATAACCAGGTAAAGCACTATGGCACTAGATTAAACCTTCTGTGGTAAAAGTTTTTTCCTGCAGTGCCAAGGCAAAGAACCTGGGGCACTTTTTCAAAATTCCTTGGAGGTTGGATAAGGGCCCCCCCCCCAAAAGTCTCCGGTCTGGGCGCGCATCGGCAAAAAAAAAAAAAAAAAAAAATTCTATATATAATGATGTCTCAAAACAGCCAAACTCACTGGTTTGACTGGAATCCTGCTGCTGCACAATTTTAACATGTTTTTAGATGGGGTTACGATCGAGTATAAGCTTTATGTGGCCTCTCTGGACTCGTATATTTTTCACTAAATTTAGTCGGGCACCATTTGCAGATGGTGTAATTTTGTAATGGTGCATCTGGAAGCCAGACTGAGGGAGCAATGGTCGTGTATCTTGAACCTGTAAACACTTTTTAATTAGGGCAATATGTAAGGGAGCAGACTAATGACCAGCCTGGCAGCTCATGCACAATGTCGATGTCGCTGTATGGTCTAATGTTACTACCGTTTTCTCTGATTTTTGTCTTGACTATCCACATTTTGAGATCATAAAAGAGTGCAGAATTCTCAAGCCTTATGACCTTACTATAGTCACCTCAAACTCCACTCTGAAGGATCAAAGCATCATCTGCAACATCAGCCGACATTTGAAGAAGAAAAAAGTAGGGAAGAAGAAAAAAGTAGGGAAAAAAAAAATGCGTCGCCGCACCACTTTTGGGGCAAGCTCCATACCAGAAACCGGAGACTTTTTTTTGACTTAAACAAAAGATACGTACCTGCCTGGGGGATTGCTGTACATCTTGCATAGGGGTATGATGGGTGAGAGTGGGAGGCTAAAGCAAAAGTAGAAAGCGGGAAAGTAGTCAAACCTAAGGTGTGTTATTGTTTTGTGTTAAATTACCCACCATGCAGCATATCAGCATTTTATTGCTCTTTGTATCACTTGTGCAGTATAAGTACCGTTAGTTTGAAAACTAAAATACTAATCATGTAGGCCTCAAGTGTTATAAACCAGAAATTTGCCCTAAATTATACCAAAATCACATATGGTTTTGACTGGGTTTATAATAGGTTTGGCTTGGCCATGTATACTCACAAATCATGGAAATCATCCTGATTGGGCTTAATGCCAATTCTTGTACACTTACTGCATCCACAGTGAATTCTCCTCTGGTGGAAGATAATCGTAATGACAGTGCCTATGAATTAATTGACATGTCTGAAGTGAGTGTGGGTGGAAGCACAGGTGCCGGGGTGCATGGAGCTGTTGGTATAGCGGCAGGAGTTGCTGTAACAGGTAACATTTTGCATTCTATAGTCAACCCTTGTCGAGTGTTTGTCAATACTAAGGGAATAAATGTGTGCTCGAGAGGTTTTTATCACTCCGTTTAAGACCGCTTAGAGTCTGGGTGCTGATAATTACCCGAGCCGGAGGCGAGGGTAATTATCAGCACCCAGACTCTAAGCGGTCTTAAACGGAGTGATAAATACCGACCGAGCACATATTTATTTCCATTCATAAATACCTTTTCGGTTAAAAAATATCAAATAATTCGTTCAAAAAATCCCGATTTTGTTCAACAAGTTCACTTCATGCTTTTTGAAACATCCGTCTGGCAAAATAATGGAGTGTTCAGCTTGCGAGTAAGATGTAAACAACCCTTTTATGGCGATTGACGTGCGCGTAGCATGTTCTGCGCGATGTCGCCCTGAACGCACCTGGGGCGTTGCGTTTTGAATTTAGAACTATAAAATTCTGACTCCCTGGTAGTGTTGCGCATACCTACGTGAGGATTGTGAACGTTGAACCAATGAAACGGTAAGAGGCACTGGATTTTTAGGAGTCCACATTTTATTGTGACACTGGAAAAGTGTTTAAGACCAGCTAGCCATGTCTTTATCATCCGTTTAAGACCGGCCACGTGACGGGCTCTCGACCAATAGGAATAGCTAAACTGTCTGAGGTATTTATGAATGCTAGATTCTGTCACTGGGCTGTTCAGGTATGATGGAAGTTTTTTTTGCATGTTAGATGTAGTGTTTGTTAATATTGCTAGGTTGTGAGTGATGCTTAATTCTTGCATTGGGATTTTGCTCTACATACACCGAACAGTGTTTACTTTTGTCATAAAGCTGTTTATGTACGATGGAGGGTTTACATTTTTGAGAATACGAGCTCCAGAGCAAAATGGTCGTCTGTACAAATCTGGATTGCCCAATGTAGGCTGTAAAGTCTGTAGAGTTGTCTGGCAGGTCCCAAATGTGCCTCCGACCTGCTGGACAGCTAAAAATGACCACACCTCAACCACAAGCAGCAGACTTTTATACTTGGTCTCTACCCTGCTTGAAAGTAATGGGACATATGCACAAACAAAGAAAACTATTTCTGCCCTAGTAGTGGCCTGCCAGAGCCTGCATGACCTGCACCCAATTTCATGAAGCACTGCGACACGTCGCAACCGGAGTTACGACGTGTAAAATGTCGCAACTCGCGACACGTCGTATAATCCATTTCTCGAAACCTGCGATGTGTTGAAAGCGTCGTAAGTTCCTTGACATCGGCTTAAAACACGTCGCAATTTAGACGTGTCTAGTGGTCATCGCATAATAAGAAGCGGTCTTTTCTTAGCCATTTTTATGCCATAAAAAAATACATAAACAAAACTATAATACCGAGACAATGTGTGTAAGAAATTTTGTCACAATGCATGTATTTTGACAAAATTCATTATACTTGGGGAAACATGTGTTTACTGCTACTCATGGTTTCAACCAGCTTATTTTGCAATTTACACTGCCATGAGGGCCAGTGTGTAAATTCTAACAGCTTAATAATGTGAGGTGTATAAAATGCTCTATTACAACACACACAAAATCTTTAACAAAAAAATATTTTTTTGTATCCCTTTAAATACCTGCAAAATTGACTTTTCTCCAAAAGCTGGGATCCTGAGAAGGATTCTGAGAAGGATCCTGGCACTAATAGTTTTGACCAATCACAGCAGGGAGTTTTAACCAATTATGTTAAACCATTTCCAAGATTGGACCAATCAGGACACAGTTGTAGAACACAGTGCTAAAGTGTAGGAGGGAAAATGCACGTGTGTGTGTGTGTCTCATTCTGTCACAGCTTTTTGTGCAAGCTGGATAAATTTCATTTCTGGGAATATACTGGCTGATATTTTCACTGTGGAATACATTTTCGTGGAATTTAGCTGACTGGATCTCTGCTGCCTAAGCAATGGGATTTATTTGGCTGATTTTGGAGTAATAATCTCATTGGAATTGCAGTGATTTGGCCTTGCCTGTTGGAGCATATTTTGACTGGAATTGCAGTTTCATGCTCTATGGAATACGGTACTAGACCTATGGCATGTATGGTGAAGCTGCATCAGGTGATGTGCATAGTCTTCAGTTGTTCAGCCTTGGATTTTTTTCTTGAATTGCAGTAACTCTAACTGGCTAATTTATTGCCTGTTATTGCTGTGATTTGCTAGCAGAGTTCTTCGGGATTGACTGCTTAAGTTCACCAACTTTAGTCTGTACAATGAAGTCGCAGGGACACACACAATTGTGTTACAACACCCATTCTGGAATTTGTATCCTTGTGGAGACATTTCTTTGTTCTCGTGTAGTAAAGTTTTCGAGTGTGAAATTGAAGTTTCAAAATGCTCTTATTTTAACCAGAATTAATTTCCTGAGCTGAAATTTGGACTAAATATCCCTTTTCTAAAACTCTTCCATTTGCGACAGATCAACCTACCTTGGAAATTCCTAGTTTTGAGTAAAATCCATATATCTATTTCGTGAAATTCTTGTGGAGACGTATTCATCTATAGAAATGTTCTTCTGGAGACGTATACAATCTTTTGTTCCCTATTGTGTTCATGTCTCCGTAAGGTATTAAATTCCAGCACCTTTTTCATCCCAAGCAGAAATCTCGAGTCAGAAAAGCAATGCCTCGACAAAGAAGGGTAGTTGAATCCGCTAAGCCTAATGGGGCTAAGATGACACGGAAATCGGTACGTCGATCATCAAAAGCAAAGGCCCGGATCCTTTCAAGTATTCTTCCTGCTAATACCGTGGCTGCTTCAGTGATGACCACATCACCCACTGTGCTGCCTCCCGCTGCCCCCGTTGTGCTGCCTCCTGCTGCCCCCACTGTGTTGCCTCCTGCTGCCTTCACTGTGCTGCTTCCTGCTTCCCCCACTGTACTGCCTCCTGCTGCCCCAACTGTGCTGCCTCCTGCTGCCCCCACTGTACTGCCTCCTACTGCCCCCACTGTGTTGCCTCCTGCTGCCCCCACTGTGCTGCATCCTGCTGCCCTCACTGTGCTGCCTCCTGCTTCTCCCACTGTACTGCCTCCTGCTGCCCCAACTGTGCTGCCTCCTGCTTCTCCCACTGTACTGCCTCCTGCTGCCCCCACTGTGCTGCCTCCTGCTTCTCCCACTGTACTGCCTCTTGCTGCCCCAACTGTGCTGCCTCCTGCTGCCCCTACTGTCCTACCTCCTGCTGCCCCCACTGTGCTGCCCCCTGATGCCACCACTGTGCTGCCTCCTGCTGCCCCCACTGTGCTGCCTCCTGCTGCCTTCACTGTGCTGCCTCCTGCTTCCCCCACTGTGTTGTCTCCTGCTGCCCCCACTGTGCTGCCCCCTGCTGCCCCCACTGTGCTGCCTCCTGCTACCCCCTCTGTGCTGCCTCCTGCTACCCCCTCTGTGCTGCCTCCTGCTGCCCCCACTGTGCTGCCTCCTGCTGCCCCCACTGTACTGCCTCCTGCTGCCCCCACTGTGCTGCCTCCCGATGCCCCCTCTGTGCTGCCTGCTGCTGCCCCCACTGTGCTTCCTCCTGCTGCCCCCACTGTGCTGCCTCCTGCTTCTCCCACTGTACTGCCTCCTGCTGCCCCCACTGTGCTGTCTCCTGCTTCTCCCACTGTACTGCCTCCTGGTGCCCCCACTGTGCTGCCTCCTGCTTCTCCCACTGTACTGCCTCTTGCTGCCCCAACTGTGCTGCCTCCTGCTTCTGCCACTGTACTGCCTCCTGCTGCCCCCACTGTGCTGCCTCCTGCTTCTCCCACTGTACTGCCTCCTGCTGCCCCAACTGTGCTGCCTCCTGCTTCTCCCACTGTGCTGCCACCTGCTGCCCCCACTATGTTGCCTCCTGCTGCCCCCACTATGTTGCCTCCTGCTGCCCTCACTGTGCTGCCTCCTGCTGCCCCCTCTGTGCTGCCTCCTGCTTCTCCCACTGTGTTGCCTCCTGCTGCCCCCACTGTGCTGCCTCCTGCTTCTCCCACTGTGCTGCCACCTGCTGCCCCCACTGTGCTGCCTCCTGCTTCTCCCACTGTGCTGCCTCCTGCTGCCCCCACTGTGCTGCCTCCTGCTTCTCCCACTGTACTGCTTCCTGCTGCCCCCACTGTGCTGCCTCCTGCTTCTCCCACTGTGCTGCCTCCTGCTGCCCCAACTGTGCTGCCTCCTGCTTCTCCCACTGGGCTGCCACCTGCTGCCCCCACTGTGCTGCCTCCTGCTGCCCCCACTGTGATGCCTCCTGCTGCCCCCACTGTGATGCCTCCTGCTGCCCCCACTGTCAGGCATGCAACTTTTCCTCAGATCAGCTGATTTCCTTTTTTTTTTTACTTCCCATGTGTGCCATTGAAAATAGAAACACATAGTACAAAGTCTGGGAAAAATTTGAATTTCCTCTTTTTTTTTTGATTTCCCAGTTGCATGCCTGCACTGTGCTGCCTCCTGCTTCCCCCTCTGTGCTGCCTCCTGCTTCCCCCACTGTAATGCCTCCTGCTGCCCCCACTTGTACTGCCTTCTTTGGGCATTGTTGACACTGATGCATTGTTGCAGCTGTAACAAGCAACCTTAACACCCCTTTGCAGTAGTTCCAATTCCTGTGGGCCCCTGATTCCAAAACAGGGCCTTTGTTTCGCATTTAATAGTTATAAGGGATGTCATTTTAAGGGATGCAGTTTTCTGCAGGAGGTGTTACCAGGGCAGTCACGGTGTATATGTGTGCCGTAGTAATTTTCAATGTGCAGGGGCTGTAACCACTAGCAATAAGGACTTGCATCTTGCGGCGCAGTCCTTCAAATAGGGGGCATTCATTTCTGCTGTACTCAACTGGCAGGCCATTCGGTTGAAATTACCTTTCTGATGTAGTAAGACCAATCACTCCTGTCCCCCCAAGTAATTCATTTAGCTCAAGCTACTGAGAAAGAGTTCATATCAGTACTAATGACATGGATCGGTACTAATGACATGGTCAGCGCAGACATGTTTCAGATTAGGCAGCGTATTGCATATTTCATGCAACTTTGTCGTCAAAGTTTCCCCCATACCACATTGGTTTGGTCAGCTATTCTGCCACGCCTGTTTTACTTTGGAGCAAAGGATCAAAAAGCCATGGACCAGGTCCGCCGATCAATTAACAGGTGGACGCGATCTCGTTGAAGGCTGTTTTGGGCTTCATTTTTACCCCATGATGAGATTTAGAGGACAAATCATGCTCTGTTTTTGTATGATGGGGTTCACCTCAGTAATATGGGAACGAAGTTACTGCTGTCTGATTATGTCTCCTGCATTGCATCACACATTCAGTGTCAAGGGAATTAAGTTCAGTGCAGTGATGGGGAGATTGTAAATATGTTCTTGTTTAGTGTGGTCTTCTTCCTGGGGTGTGCTGTGCACTTGTGGCGTCTTTAACAGGTTTCAAAGACAGCTCATGCCTAATACATGTACGTACACACATGAGTTTACATGTAGCATTAGTTTTATGGGCATGTTACTGATATTGTTGCTGATATTGTTACTGATATTAATGTTTTTAGTAATACAATGCGATTTGAACTTTGTAAGGGGCAGCCACACTCGCCCTTACGTACCCCAGGGGCCGGATGTGCTGTATTTCCATAGCGCAGCCATGGCTGTCCCCCACAGATGTGGACTGGGTCATATGTGTGCCCATTCATTAATGGTTGGCCTGGGAGCCAAATTGATAATTGACGTACATGTACGGGACCTGGGAGTCCATTATATGTTTAACATGTTTCTTTCGGGCCTGCTAGCCCTATGACTTGATGCCAGCTTGCCCATATCAATTCGGTATCTGGCGAACGAACAAAGTTTGAAATAAATAACTTGAAGCTGTGGCGAAGATGCACAAAAAAATTGTCTTTGAGTTTCATTCATTAGTTAGTCCGAGTATAAAGTCGTAAATAGAAAATGCATCGAATAATTATGAATTAGTGTGGAATATTGCAGTTGAAATTTCAAAGCAGCTAAACAGTCCATCAAGAGCTTGTTTTCCTTTAAAATCGCATCACACATCCGCCATTTCGTTTTACGTTTTTAAATCTTTTCGAGAGGAGATACAACAACTCTTTGTTGAATATCAGACGACTATTTACTGTACACTGAATAAATAATAAAATAGTCACCGAATTGTGCTATACATACGCCTACGACGCGTCGCACGTACGACCTGTTTTGTGAAATGGATCGCAGGACGCGTCGCAGCTATTATTATTAATGGTTTATTTATTTGATCAATGATACAAAAAAGAGACATTGCAGCCAGAGGCTGAATTGTGCCTCCCCTCACAAAATCACAATATTAATTAAAAAACCATATCATTTCAAAACAATGAAATTAACAATAAATAACATTAATGTCACACGTAAACATGCAAGCTTACAATTCAAAAACATGACATGCAAAGGACAAGACAAATGGAATTACAGTTATTACAATGACAGTTAAACATTTTGGACCGAGCACGCACAAAGACCGAATAACTGGTTGGCAAGAAAGAAAAAAAACCTGCCAAGTATATATAAAAAAAACTACTGATTGTTTAAAACTGAGGTTAAAAATGGGATGGGACTGTTTTTATACCGATTGGTTCTGCATCTGATACTGGAAAGTTTATGGGAATTTCTGAGGTTATTATCTCTATACGAAGGTAGCCAATCTCTATGAACATGGGAATTTAAGACATTACTACCAAAATTAAACAAAGCAATTCCAGCCTTTCAGACATAGGCGGGATGTGATGAACTTGACAAATATGCTGATAAGAGGTGATTCCTACAATACTCAGGGAAAATTATGCGGAAAGCTTTCCTGCGACGCATTGTAGGGATACGACGCATCACAGTGCTGCGATGCATTGTAAGTTACAATGAATTTCATGAAATCGGGTGCAGGTCAGTAAAATAATTGAAAGCATGGAAGTTTTGTTGTTTGGGAGAAGTAACTGGGGCAAGAATGTTGGTGCTTAAAACCACTACAAAGTTATTCAGCAGGCTGTTTGTTACAGTATGTCAGTTGGAAGCCAGCTGGCTTGCAGTATGGATGTCTCAATTGATGTCACCTCTTAATCCATTCCTCCTACCATCAGTCAATCATCAAAGATGGCTTTTGCTGATGTGGTGCAAACTGCTACTGTTCAATCTGGATTGAACTTTATTGTCAGATAATTAAGAGTAATATGCATGGAGTAGAAGTGCCATTGGTGTAATGGCTGTTTGCCCCTGAGACCAAGTACACGCATGGCAACATTGATTTTGATGCAGTAGAATATTTGTTGGTGAAGTAGACCAAGGCCAAGGCTTACGTGGACAATGTAGAGAGCGTAGCAACCCAATCTCTGTAAGCTTCTGTAGGAGGTTGACACAATCTTAATAGCAGCCTTTTTGACATTGTGAGGCTGCGTCCAAGCACAACACAAAGGTACACTGGGGATTGGTTCATTTTTGTTAGCTGATGGTTTTCCAAGGTGGAAGACAGAGCTCACCTTCAGGTGCCAGAATGTGTCGCTCATGATGGAGCTGCCATTTTTCACTCTTAAATGCAAAATATTGAAGAAAGGTCTCCTAAACAATTGAGTTGAGACTTCAAACTTGGCTGGTGAAATACTGAGGACCTTGTCTTTGCCTCACACAAATTTTGGAGAATTTTGTCTGCTTAAGGGAGAGTAAAGTTGGCCCCTATTTGTTTTGCATGTTTTCCTGTACTCAAGGTCTGTTCCGTCTGGGAACAAGTATGAACCTCTCCAGCCATTTCGTAAAGGTGTATTTTTGTCCATATTCTTTTGGTGCTAAATTTCAATGTGTTAGACTGTGGAGTCATTTAAAACACCTGCAAAAATCAATCTTTAATGTATTGTTACTCCTAATTGTTTACATCGTTGCAATAATTTAGTTTTGCAAAACTGGAGAATTTCAGAGTACCTGAGCAAGAAGACAGTGTTGAGAAGTGTGTCGGGCTAAGGGAGTCAGAGAGTTTGTTTGATGGATATCAGCTCCTTGCTATTTGAGTTGATGAGTGGTGAGCTTTGGTTTCAAGGCTGTTGATATCGCTCTACACGCTGGAAGATGTGTGGACTTTCGTGTGGACCTTGACTTAACTTGGAGGGGAGGGGCTTGTTGGCAATTTGGATACAGCGTGCTTCAGTTATTATATAACTGACATACAGATCCTAGTCATTTGATTGGTGGAACTCACATCACATGACATTCGTTATTGCTCCCATTCACGCCGCGGCTCAAAAAGTACTATCCGCCCATGGGGAATGGGAAATACTATTCAACAGTTAGGATCATGATGTGGTATTTGTGTGCAAATGAATGCTGGTGTGCGCGTTCAGCGTTGCGCGTAGCGCGTATTGTTCCAAAGAGCCAGCGCTCCAGCGTTAGGTTCAAACATTTTCGTGAAGGGGTGGTTCGAAAGAGAGAAATGGATTTTCCTTCAGTTGTGTATTGAAAAAAAAAGTTCAAATATATCAAATGACAAGGATCTATATGTCAGTTATATAAAACAAATATTGAGTGGCTTTAAATTGCAAAATGGGAGGAATATTATCGCTCGATAAAATCTGGACTTTTCCAGTTCACTCGGCTTTGCCTCGTGAAATGAAAAAGTCCAGGTTTTACCTTGCAATAATATTCCTCCCATTCCACACTGAGCCACTTGATATTTGTATACTAGTCACTTTTTTGTCGTGAACTTAAACACACGTTTCACATTGGTAAGACCGCTTGTTTAGATTATCAATGGTTATGTGAAGGACATTTATTTAATAGGTGAAGTAGCATTAGTTGACACCTTATAATTGTTGTCAGAATAATACATGTATCTTATGTGTCCTATTCTTTAGGTGCAATAGGGTCCAAGGTGGACGTTGAGTATCCAGGAGAGCACAGTGACAACAAAACACTCCATTCAGAAGACGAACATGCACCATGCATCAAAGACATGGTCAACAACAACAATAGCAGCAGCATAGATGAAGGAATCACATTCCAAGCGAAGAAAGATGACACCGATGTCATTCCAGACAACAGTAAAAGCATGGAACCAAGAGAGATCATTGAACGCAGAGAAAAGTTCTCAGAGAAAATCTCCAGCTTAGATTCTGAGTTATCTGAAGCAAGTACATTAGTGAGCTACAACAGCACAGACACACTAGGGAATGAGAGTGACAGTAGTTCCACCTGTGGTGATGGTCGTGTACGTCGTACTCGCATTACACATCAGTCAATACGATCCGTCATGTCAGACAGCGAAGTGGAACTAAATGGGGTAAGTATATAGATATATAACATTTTACAGATTAAATGCAACATTTACAATTACGTTGCATTTAGGGCAAGCTTAAAAAATTACTGTTCGCGAGGTCAGCGGAGGTTCGCGAACTAATTTTGATCCCAAGTTAGGAGTAAACGTCAAGCTCTCCAGGTTCATTTGCATCGCATGGCAATGCGCCAATATGCTACAGCCGCTGAGTTCGCGAAGTGCGCGAACCTATCGTACGCGGAGTTCGCGTAACCAGCTACTGTTCAGTGCTCCGGTAATATTCAGGCTTTGTTGCGTCGGCAGTATTTGTTATTAAACCAGGAGCAAGGCGCTGTATTCCCGATTATTTTCCTGAAATTTGTTTTTTGATAGGTGGCAAATTTCCGACACATCGTTTGTTAAATGTTGACAAGTGGAAATCAACTTCGTGAAATCAGAAAGAAAATTCCACACTGCATGTTTTTTTGACCCTGGCTTGGGCAATATTTTAACCCTGCAGTATTCATCAATTCCAAAGACTGCAAAATTGTATTGTCAGGAAGCATTTTCCCTCAAAATACGATCTAATTAAATTATTTGGATATGAATTGCACTTTTTTTTATATAATTAAGACCGATTGTCGTGATACGGAAAAGTGTACTATCCATGGCTTCTGATTTCTGCATTCTATAGAACTTATTTATTGGAGATTTTGTCTGCATGTAGTCCTTTCTATTTTTCTTTCGTAATGTAGAATTAGTGAAGAATCCATCGGGCCTAATACGTTTATCAATAAAACAACTTCAAGTTGCTCTCGATCCCCCCGGCCGTGCTCAGAGTTTCTCCTCGAAAATAAATACTTCCGTCTTTTTTGAAATGCCTTTTTTTTATAGCAATATAAAACAAATCCACTTTAGAAGGAGGTTTCAATATAAATTTTATTTTATTGCACCCAGACCAAATGTTAGAGCCGAAAAATCATTCACTCTTATGTGTAATGACCGCAAAAGCAATTAAAACATCAACCGTTATTTTAGAGGAATATTACAAAGCGTCCAATTAGGATGGAATAAATCATTTCCTGTTTCTCCAAAAATACATATGAAAATTTTGTTACAGAATTGGAAAGAAAATGTAATAGCAATAAACTGAAGAGAACGGGTAATCAACTTCCACCATGCAGTTTAGAAACTGTATCATGAATATTTACGAAGCCGACACACGTCACTAGATATCCTTGACAATAATGTTACTATGGTTATGCCTATATACATGGGATGTTAGGGCGAGTCTTATTGCCTGCCAGTTAACTCCAGTTTGGCGGGAACGTATTCACAGCATCGCATTGGTGGTGACATTTCGTCGTCATGACGATCTACCTGTCTGTCTTGTGCTAGACAAGTTCCCACGCTCTTGTTTTGGCAAGAAGCCAAACCAGCAATACCCTTTTCACGCCAGGCATCATTTGGAGTTACCGGCGGCTGTTTACTGTTAAGGCTGAAACGATACATCGATACATCGGTGCATCGCGATACATTCGTTCACGATACGACATATCGGTACGAATGTTTGGTATCGATATTATTAATAATAATATAATAAATAACAGCGGCAATGCACCGAAAGAAAATTGCAAGCAACTGCGATGCATGAGAAGCACGAAATGTAAAAATAATAATGCGAAGAGTTCAAGTTTCACCTTTCCGAGCGCACGCACGTGAAAAGTTCATGCGGACTCTCCGTTGTGTCCGTTTTCTTCAGGTGGTGCATGCATTTCATGTACCGTAATTTTCGGAATATAAGCCGCGGCTTATCGTTGATTTTGCCCATGAAAATGTTTAATGCAGCTTATACGCAGGGCGGCTTATACGCCGAGCCTTGAAGAATAAAAATAAGATTCACATGTGTATTTAATGTACTGGTACAAGAAGACATGTGTTGCTGAAATGAATTATCAATTAATAAAGTTATTAACAAACCGAAACCAAAACTGAGCAATAAAAAGTACGGTGAAAGCTGTCTTAGACGCTTGCGACTGGCCGTACGTGATACCATGGAGGATTCCTCCATCGTGATACTAGTGCAGCTGCTGCCATGCAGCATGCTTAAAGGGAATATACATGTACATCATTGGCTTTTGCTGCAATTTTCAGAAATGAACTGTTTGAGGGGTTAGTATAATAGATCAGATATTGTTTAACTGACATGTTTGAAGTTTTGTGTTACGAAAATGCTTGAAAAACCAAGAAAAACAAAAATGTTTAAGTAGTCTGGTTCCCTGACTCCACAAAAGATAAAATGAATCAATTTATGGATGTCAGAAAATTGTAAGGTAAGGGAACCAGTCTAGCTGGCCTGCACCCGTTCATGAACATGTAACCAATAGCAAACAAATTTTGGACTGAAAAAAATTGTAATTTGGAGTAGTAGTTGAAAAATAGTTAGGTTTTTCCAACGGTGGTCGGCTGACCACCGTTGGAAATGTATACAAAAATACAATTTTCTTGAAAATGACTTGACACCAGGTGCCATAATTTTAAAGGATGCTTTAGGCTGGCTCTGCTGCCGTCTTGATCCCTGCTTCAATATAATATGGATTCTACTCGCCATGAAATTCTAAAGTATTTTTGTAATTAATTTACCATAACTAAGTTATCGGTAGGTATATTGTGATTCATCTTTTTTTTTCTTCTTCACTGTGTTCGGGTGATTTGATGACGCTGAAATAACCAAATGTCCTTCTGTTCGATGTTTTTAAATTGGGGGGGGGGGGGGGATTTTGCCTGCTCATTAATTAGTTTTGTTAAAATGTCTAATTGTGCATTTTTTTATGTCGTAAATCAGCCAACTTTCATCAACGCTGCAGTCCCTGTCTGGAACAGACTGAGAATGTGCAGTTGGAAGGGTTAAAATCAGAGAATGCTGGTGTTAAAAAGGCACAGTGCTTCGCGAGACCCATGGAGACCCATTCAGCTCTACTCTGTTGCGTATTTCCACTCCTTTGACTATTATTCACTTAAGCATTTTATATTGAAAAACATCAACAGTAATAGATCGGCCTGTATTTGCCTTTGGATTGGGAAATTGTAAAACTAAACCTAAAACCGGTACTCAGTTTTTATTCTTGTATTATTTTTTTCCGGAAATTGTTTATTTATTATTATGTCATGCTGTCTGGGTCATTTTGGAAACTACGAGAATGCTTTAAATTTTCATGGCTTGTATGCTACACTTTTTCAACAGGAGGATTATTGGGGACCTATGATTTGCATTCTGATGGATCTGATTGGCGTATGTAACACTATTAAACACCTGTCGTTAAACAAAAAATGAAATCAATTTAATCTTTAATACACTGATTACAAAATACATGATGGCGAAATTGCCCAGTCACAAAATGAGGCATTTAACATTTAAACTCGGACAGCTTAGAACTGCAATGTGTATTGCTAGGGGCGGTTTTGAATATAAATTATAAATGCATGCATATTACAATTTTCTCCTCGTCAAAATCTCCCATTAGGGTTTGTGCATTCTAATATGCTTAATTACTTTTTAGGAAATAAGGCTTAAATTAGTGTGTTAATAAGGGCTCCGTTTCATTAAGAGAACGAATAGACTCCTATATTATTATGTTTGTTTTAGGACCTAAACGTTTGGCTACACAGTACATGTACATGTCCTCATAGTTCGCCAAGATAATGTTGAATATCAGCTGGCTTAATTTTGTGGGAATAGGGCATGTTATTTATGAAGGGAAATAAAATATAAGGGGTGTCCTAAAGTATAATTATTACAATAAACACGATTACCTTAAATTGTATGATAATTGATATACATGAACATTGAAGCCAGTAAAAAAAATAACTCGGTCTCTCAGTCTCTTTCGCAATTTCATCAAGCGCAACCCTGCCCGGTTGGCCCATATTTAGGGGTGTTGGGCAGTACCACAAGACAAGACGAGACAAGTATATGTATTCGCATAATTGTGATGGCAACGGAAGGCATAGCAAATCGTCATGTTTTCCTGCAGAGTTGGTCTGTACTGCTGCTCGGCAAAATAAGTACATCAGCAAGTTCTTGATATGTAGCTCTGCTCCTCGTTTATGATGTGAAGGCTCAGCAAAGAAGGCAAAATTCTGCACCTCATTCGTGTCAGTTTCCCACTGGACATGATGCCTCTCAAGTTGCTGCGTACGTTCGCGAACAAGTACAAGCGCCGGCAGTCATCGTGTTCCCAGAATTGATAGGTACTCAATGCATGCATTGTTCGGCCCCGGTATCGGGAGCTGATTATTTCTCATCATTGCGTGCCAGCTACATGCCAAGCTACGATTTCGTGCTCTGGGAAAGTCCCGCATTATTTACAACGGCTGTTTCATGTACATGTATTATATTCTTCATATAATCAGACTGCCTTGATTTTTTATGCCCCGCGGCGAAGCCGAAGGGGCATACTGTTTCCGCCTTGTCCTTCCGTGGGTGGGTGGGTGTGTGTGGGTGTGTTTGGGTGGGTGGGTGTGTGGGTGTGTGTGTCCGGACAAATCTTGTCAGCGAGATAACTTGAGAATTACTTAACATATGAACTTCAAATTTGGTTTGTGGATTGTCCTAGGTAATCCTAAGAAGCCTTTTGCATTTGGGGCCGAAAGGTCAAGGGTCAAGGTCACAGTGGCTGAAACAATAGAAATTTTGTCAGCGCGATAACTTGAGAAATACTTAACATATGAACTTCAAATTTGGTTTGTGGATTGTCCTTGGTAATCCTAAGAAGCCTTTTGCATTTGGGGCCGAAAGGTCAAGGGTCAAGGTCACAGTGGCTGAAACAATAGAAATTTTGTCAGCACGATAACTTGAGAAATACTTAACATATGAACTTCAAATTTGGTTTGTGGATTGTCCTTGGTAATCCTAAGAAGCCTTTTGCATTTGGGGCCAAAAGGTCAAGGGTCAAGGTCACAGTGGCAAAAACAAAAGAAATTTTGTCAGCGTGATAACTTGAGATATACTTTACATATGAACTTCA